CAATTCTACTGCTTCAGCCTCCTGAGTAGCACTTTTCAGGATTTTATCTTAATCCCTTAGGATTTTATCTTCATGCTGAAGATTTTATTCTCTCTCTCTCTGTCTCTCTCTCTCTCTCTCTCTCTCTCTCTCTGTGTGTGTGTGTGAGAGAGAGAGAGAGAGAGAGAGAGAGAGAGAGAGATGCTTAGCACTTGGTGGCTTTGTTCAAGTTGAAGATTCATGCCTTTCTTCAGTTCAGAATATTCTAGAAAAGTATTTCTTCAAATAGTCTTTTTTTTTTTTTTGGGGGGGGRGGGTACCCGGGATTGAACTCAGGGGCACTCAACCACTGAGCCACATCCCCAGCCCTATTTTATATTTTATTTAGAGACAGAGTCTCACTGAGTTGCTTAGGACCCTACCATTGCTAAGGCTGACTTTGAATTTGTGATCCTCCTGCCTCAGCTCCAGAGCCACTGGGATTATAGGTGTGCACCACCGTGCCTGAGAAGTAGTCTTCTTTACACTCTTTCTATTCTGTCTGGAATTCCTATTAGATGCAAGATGAAACTTCTGGAATCTATTTTGCATTTTACTTTTTTTCCTTTCATATTTTCTATTGCTTAGTCCTTTTCTTCCATACTGTGAACTAATGGCATCTGAACACATTTTCCCCTGAACACATTGGGTTGCATGAGTTTCTTTTATTGGATTGAAAAAAAGGTTTGTTATATATTAGGGACAGTTTCTTTCCACTTGATGCATGTTTTACCACTTACCCCCAAATTTGCCTTCTAAAATGGTTGTTTATGATGTCTTTTGACTCAGATGATACTTTTTTTCAAAGCAATCAGACACATTTTATTCAGTAACAGGGTTGCAATAGGGAAAATATCAGGCATGACCTGAACTCAGATCCCTGACAGCAAAGGTTAGAGACGGACTCAGATGATGCTTCGATCTTTGCATCTTTAAATATATCCAATTTATTGCTGGTAGGCTTTGTGGAATGCCAAGAAGTGCCTACACCAACATAAAATTTATAATATTTTCCTAAACTTCCATGTAGTTTCTTATATCTTTTCATTTTTTGCATTTAAACCTCTAATTTTTCTTTATTATTTTATGTGGTGAGAAGTAAGGCTTTAATCTTTTGTTACAGATGGATAGGCACTTTGTCATACAATCATTTGTCATACAATCCATCTTATTTCCACTGTTTGGAAATGTTAGTTGAAGTTTTGTATATAAATTAGATTGTTTTTAGACTTTCTATTCTATTTCATGAACAGATGTGTTTCTATATGTCTCTGTATTTTACTGCTGCTATACAAAATGACTTAAAATTACACAAATATATCATCTTACAGTTCTGTTGGTCAGATATCCAACACTTGGCTGTGGATATAGCTCAGTGTTAGAGCATTTGCCTAGCATGTGTGAGGCCCTAGGTTCTATCCCAAGCACTGCCAAAAAAAGAGAGAGAGAGAGAAAGAGATTCCCAATATGAACTTCATTGGGCTAAAAGCAAGGTATTTGCAGGGCTGCATTTCTAGAGAAACCATTTCCTTGCTTTTCCCTGACCACATTCCTTGGTTCATGGCTTTCTCCCTCCATCTTCAAACACAACAATAGAACACCCCTCTGGCCTTGTTTCTGTCATCCACTCTGACTCTCTCATTTCCCTGCCTCTTATAAAGACCCTTGAGATAACACTGGACCCACCAAGACACAATCAAAGATGATCTTCCTGGGCTGGGGTTGTGGCTCAGCGGCAAAGTGCTCGACCCTGGGTTTGATCCTCAGCGCCACATAAAAATAAATAAATAAAATAAAGGTATTGTGTCCAACTACAACTAAAAAATAAATTTTTAAAAAGATGATCTTCCTATATTAAGGTTTAGCTACCTTAATTCCATCTGCAACTTTAATTCCTCTTACATGTAATTTAACACACTGAGAGGTTCTGTTGATCAGGATGTGAAAATCTTTGGCAGTGAGGTTTATTCTGCCTACCTCACTACTGTAGCCCCATTAATGACTTTAAAATAATATTTCAGCTTGAGGTTGTTTTTGTTTTGGTACTGGGGATTGAACCTGGGGTATTCTACCATTGAGTTACATCCCCAGCTCTTTTTACTTTTTTTGAGACAGTGTCTCAATAAATTGCCCAAGATGGCCTTAAATTTGCAATCCTCTTGCTTCAACCTCCCAAGTAGCTGAGATTATTGACACACCCAGCGTATTTCAATACTCATTAGGCCAAATACATCTTATTATTCTTTAATTAAAAAAAAAATTCTTGATGGGCTGGGGTTGTAGCTCAGTGGCAGAGCGCTTGCCTCGCATGTGTGAGGCATTGGGTTCAATCCTCAGGACCAAATAAAATTTTTAAAAAATAAAGGTAGGTGTCCATCTACAGCAATAAAAAAACCTTAAAAAAAATTCTTGGATATTCTTACATATTTATTCTACTGTCACCTAGATTTCCATTGGCAAATTTTAGAATCAATATGACATAATCTAAAGAAAATCCACAAGGATTTTGTTCACAAATTGAATTAAACAGACAATTGCATAAAATGGAAATTGCATAAAATAGATATTAGAGGGGCTAGGGCTGTTCCTCAGTGGTAGAGCAGGTACCTAGCATGCACAGGGCCTTGAGATCATTCCCCAGCACTGTACACTCAAAATAGTAGGTTTGATGGGTTGGGGCTGTAGCTCAGCAGCATAACGCTTGCCTAGCATGCATGAGGCACTATGTTCAATCCTCAGCACCACATAAAAATAAACAAAATAAAAGCATTCCATCCATCTATAACTACAAAAAAATTAAAGTAGTTTTGCTGAGCTTATATTTAGTGGCAGTAAAGAATGAAAAACTTGCTGGATATGGTGGCAAATGCTTGTAATCCCAGTGGCTCTGGAGGCTGAGACAGAAGTACCATAAGTTTAAAGCCAGCCTCAGCAACTAAGCAAGGCCCTAAGCAACTTAGTGAGACCCTGTCTCAAAATAAAAAATAAAAGGGCCCCTGGGTTTAATCCCTGGTTCTATCCCAAGGTTCAATCCCCTCTAAAAAAAAAAATGAAAAACAGTGAAATTAGGAATATGTGGTTTTAACTGATTAGTCAACTGCTTATTTAAAAATAAGAAGAGGAGTGCTGGAGTTGTGGCTCAGTGGTTGAGTGCCCCTGAGTTCCCCCAGTAATCCCCTAAAAAAAAAAAAKAAAGAAAGAAAATAGGAAGAAGGGGAAAAAGATTATATCTAGAGTGGTTTGTATATGCATAGAAATTATCTGGGAGTCCGAGGATGTAGTTCAGTGGTAGAGTGCTTATCTGATATGTGACAGGCCCTGGGTTCCATCCCTAGCACCACAAAAAAATTAAAATTAAAAATTAAAGTTATCTGGGGTTGGAGTGTGGCTCAGTGGTTGAGCGCTTGCCTAGCATGCATGAAGCGCTGGGTTCAATCCTCAGCACCACATAAAATTAAAGATATTGTGTCCACCTAAAAACTAAAAAATAAATATTTTAAAAAAAAATAAAGTTATCTGGAAAGAAACAAATGTATGTCACTCAACATTTGAAAACTTCTTTCAAAAACAAATGAACATTCACAGAAATACCATTTTCACTTGTCAGGTTGGCAAAAATCCATTTGGTAAGGCTTGTTGATAAGGCTTTGGTGAAATTAGAACTCAAAACTCACAACTCCTCATTTTTTGCTTGGATTTGCCATTTTCATCCCTACTTTACTGCCACTGTACTTTCTGCTCCCTCTACTTGGAATACCCTGTCAGGATAACCATCCAGCTTGCTCTTTCTAGCTAGCTTAACACCTTGCTCTTTGTCCACCCCCACCCCAGTGAGGTTTCCCTGACTAGTTCCTGAGTCATCACTTCTCCACATCACTCATTGGTTTCATAATGCTCTGCTTTATCAGAAATAACCTTTTTCCTCTTTTCTGCCAGGTCAGGGATCAGATAACTTTTCTCTGAAAAGAGCTGGAAAGTAAATAGCTTAGGCTTTGCAGGCCATATGGTCTCCATCAAGAATCTCAACTCCATGCAAAGCCAATAATAATATGTAAATGATCAAGCCTAACCATTCCAATATAACTTCACTGACACTGAAATTTGAGTTTTATATAATTTCCATGTGTCATAAAATATTATTCTTTGTTTTATTTTTTTCTATCATTTAGAAATATGAAAAATGTTCTTAGCTATAAGGCTATATAAAAATAGGCTGCAAGGCCAGGCCCAGTGGCACATATCTGTAATTCCAGTGACTTGGGAAACTGAAGCAGGAGGATCGTAAGTTCCAAGGTCAGCCTCAACAACTTAGAGAGACCCTGTCTCAAAACATAAAATAAAAAGGCTAGGGGTATAATTGAGTTCAATTCCCTCTTGTGCTGGAACACCAACACCTTCCTAAACACTAGTCTGCTTGACTCAGTGCTATAGCCCAACCTGGAATGCAATAAGCTCTCCATAGATGGTGAGTGAATGAGTGAATGAAATGATTAAATTGAGTATCAAGTCATTGTTGCAGTAAAGGGGTGAATACTTCAGAATGGGCCCAATGCTATTCAGAGCCTCAGCTTACCCATCTGTACATAGGCAGGGTCCCCCAAGAAGTCTTAGAAAAATATCAAAAAGCTAAGGCAAGAATCATGATTCAATATCTTTATTCTTTCCCTTTTAGCCAGAGGGTAATCCTCACAAACAATTTCAACCAAGGGGAGGCAGAAAGAACTGAGCTAGGCAAGGACTCCCCAAAGACCTAATTTCCCCTTCTTCCTCCCATGGAGGGCCATGATCCAAGCTCTGCATGCCTAAGAAAGAGGGAAATGGAACATTCCTCAGCCTCTGCTGTCCCGTACCTTGGGTTGTCATATTAATGGAAAATGCACCTCCACATCTCAGGAAGGAAGGTCGCAAGACTGTGGCCCCAAATCCCTCCACACACACAGACATACACGGGGACCAAGCAGGGCAGGGCAGGACAGGGCAGGTCAGTGTCTAGACACATGGCTCTGGCCTGTGGCCCAGTTGGCAAACATAAAACCCAGGCTGAGGAACATGAAGAGGACTCCCAGGATGCCAAAACACAGGGCCTGTAGGTTGAGAGGGAAGAAAATGGAGCTGGCTGGTACTCCCCACCCAAACTCCCTCTGAGACTATTCCTCAAGCCCACCACCTTCCAGAGTGTCCACTCCTTTCCTTACCCTCCTCTATGTTCCCTCTCCTTCCTTAAATTCAGCCCCTTCCTGTGAATCCCCCTTCGACCTTCCCAGAATCCTTACACGAGTACTCTCCTCCATCCTTCTTCTTCAAACTGCTCCCACCTCTCTTCCCAATAGGGCTCCTTCTGTCTATCTGGAGAATACTCCCTCTATGACAGCCTTTCCTTTGTTTTAAGTACCAGTAATAGAACCCAGGACCCAGAGCCTTGCACACATGCTAGGTAAGTGCTCCAACACTGAACTACACCTGAGCCTGCCAGTCCATTCTGTCTTCCCAGACCATTCCAATGGTTATGTCTGCTCTGCCCCTTCCAACAACAATCTCTTCTTCATTCTTCCATATCATCTACCCCTCTTCTAGAGATTCCTCTTCCCCCACCCCCTTCCTGAGAAAGTTCCTTCAATCCCTAGTCAACTTGGAGTGAGCTCTCCCTCCTCAGAATGCCTCCTCTTCCAGTGCTCTCCTGGATGCTCACCTGGATCTTCCGCCAGGAAAAGAGGGGCTCCACCTCAGAGGGTACAATACGGAGGTAGAAGATGCTGGGAAGGATGAAGATGAGGCTAGGGGCTGAGGTGGACCCTATAGGACACAAGGAGAGACAGAGTCAACCCAATTTTGGGTACAAGGCCCATATAAGGTGAGGCAGGGGATTAAAGTTGGAGATACTAACCGATAACCCCAAAGATATCCCGGATGGTGGACACACAAATGACAAGGACATTGACCAACACCAGCAGGATCAGGGCTATAGCCACATGTCGTGGCCAGCTGAAGGCCTTGCTTGGGAAGAGTAGCTGCTGCAGGGCCCGACGGATCTGTAGCCAAGGAAAGACAAAACCAGGTTAAGGCCTCAAGTGCTGCTCCTCCTCTTTAACTTCAAGATCCCAGATTTCCCCTATGATTATCTATGGCTCCACCTTGTCTGACCACCCATCTGTCTCCACCTTCTGAATGAAATTCCTGCCTCTTCCCTGTGAAAACCCATGTCTCTCTTCCTTCTGCCTGATCATCCATCTGTGTTTCTACCACTGTCTCAAATCCTTGCCTCCTCTCTCTGCCCATCTCTGCCTCCTCATCTCTCACCTGTCCTTCCACCCTGTCTGAAATCCCTACCTCTCTTCATCTGACTACCTCTACCACCCTCCTCTGTTGAATCATTCTCACCTTCCCATCTGAGAGCTTCATCCTTCCTACATCTCACCACTTCAGCCTCCATTATTTTCCAGACCATTCCATTTCTTCATTCTGACTGACCATTCCTACCTCCTTCTTCTGCCAAGCCATCCATTTGTGCCTCTTTCCTCCAACTGATTACCCATCCCTGTGACCCTCTCTATCCTGCCATTCATGTTCCCTTTCTGTCTGATGATGTTTTTGCCTTTTCTGACAACTCTATCTTCCCTGTCTGACCATCTCTGCCTCCTCTATCTGTCCATTTGCTCCTATCTCCATCCTCCATCCAAACATCAATACCTATGCCCTTTAGCCATCCACCCATGTCCCTCTACTCCCTCCCTTCCCCCACAGACTACCCTCCACGCACAGGGAAGAGCACAACTGGTACAGTGAGGGTCACTGCAAGCAACACAGCCAGGCGTACACATAGGATGAGTTGGTCCTTCTGGTTGTACATGTGTAACATTTCTGCTGTCACACTGCCTGGGACAGGACAGGGAAAAAAGAATGTGATAGGAGGACCAGAACCAGAACCCCAGAAACCCACCACATCTGTGGTGACAAAATCTAAACATGTGATGCACATATGCCTTTAGAAAGGGATGGGTCCAAGTTCTCAAGAGGGAGAGATCTCAGAGGCTTCTGCCTCAGCTTTGGCCCTGGCCCACTGGCAGATCCCCCCAGCCCTGGGCCCAGTCACACTCACTGTAGAAGGTGAGGTATCCAAATGTTGCTGTGAGGCTATACATGCAGAACATGGCCCCAATGGACACATTGGCCACAGCCTGCATTCTGTGCTGGGAAGGCCTAAGATATACAGATCATGGAAATGTCATGCCCAAACCTAGACAGGGCCAAGTCACCATCTTCAAGCCTCCTCCTTCCAGATCGATGTACAGCTGGTACTGGGATGCCAACTCTGCTTCACCTGTGCAACTAGCCAAGCTTTCCCCTCTCTGGTCATCTATACCTCGCCTCACATAACCATCTCTACCTCCTCCTTCCACCTGAGCACCCATGCAATCCCTCTGTGATCACCCATGCATCCTTCCACTACACCATCCATGCCTCTCCCTGTCTACCCATGCCTCCCTGTCCATTTGAACACCCCATCACCCCAACCCTATCCATGCAGACAACCATCCCTCCAAATCTGATCATCTGATCTCTGCTTCCAACTCTGTCCATTCACACTCATACTAGATGTTAAAATAGTGCACTAATTAAGATCTAATTAGTAAAGTCACCACCCTGAGTTCTCTGGGGCCTTGTAGCCACCCTAAAACTTTCCCTTGGCACAACCCAGCTACCATCAAGCTGTAGTCTTAGGTTACGGCTGCTATGTCAGACATTATGACTACGGGCCCTGCTCCAGCTGGCCTATTACACATGCCCACTCACCGAGAGAGCTCTGTGTAGATTGGCAACACCTCAGGGTGGCAGACGAAGGCAAAAGCCATAATAGGCACTGTGTAGGGCATCTGGAGGTATGGTTCAAGTACACAGAATTAGAGCCCACAAGGAATTAGAGGATTCCCCTCTCTCTGTACTCCTGGCCCCACCATTGTCCTCCATATTGGACACATAGCAGATCCTGAAACCCAATACCTAATCCATCCTGAGTAAGATGCAGTGTGGGACAGAACCACAGTCTTCATGTGGTGTGAGCTCCCACATGCCTACACACTCACCTGAGAGTCAACTGTGAGCATCTGGGCCTCACAGCTGCTGTTGAATCCCTGAGCAGGGAGGCCTGGGGGGTCTTTACTCTCTATTGCTGTCTCATTGTGACTTATAGGACAGTCAATCTGGAACTTCTCATAAATGACCTAAGGGTGGGAAGTAGGGAAGTGAGGTCATGGAGAAGGCTATGTCCCAATGTGCCAAACCCTTTCCCCACCTTTTCATGTTCTCCTCTCAGACTCACCGAAATGAGGAAAAACAGCATGCAGGTCAGAGAAAGACCACTGGTATATCCCAGATAACCTACATGGGGCAATATACAGAGCCTCAAAAATCAAGGACCCCCCTTATAGCAAAACCCAAACCCCTATTCTGGCCTTTAAGGCTCCCTACCTCAATACTTGTATAAAAATTTTTCTTTTGTATTACTGGTATTGAACCCAAGAATGCTTCACCAATAAGCTACATCCCTGACCCTTTTATTTATTTATTTATTTTTTTCTTTGAAACAAGTTCTTGCTAAATTGCCCAGGCTGGCTTTGAACTGGAGATCCTCCTGCTTCAGCGTCTCAAATAACTGGGATTACAGGCATATGCCACTATGCCCAGATCCTTTGTCTAAGTTTTCACTTCCACCTGGACTGGTCTCCCCTGCACAGCAAATTCCTATTAATCTGCTACATGCACAAATGTGTTAGTGTTCCACAGCCTTTGAAGATGGGGATTTTTCTAGTCTAGTTCCCACTCTCTAACCCTGCTACCCAATGAACAAGGAAGCTTCTTACCCAAATGTTTCATGAGGGCCAGGGGCAGGATAATTAACACACTGACAATGATAATAAGGAGATTTCCATCCAAGAACCAGCTCCTAGGGAGACAAGAAGACATAATGATTGGTTGCCAGCCAAAGAAAACTGTCAGGCTGACACTCATGGAAGACAGTCAAATGGACAGATTTCTGCCCCCCAGTCAGGAAAAATGAGTAGACATCTCAGCTGTGTGAAGTCATTCAACTGATTCCAGTGGCGAATTGCACAACAAGATTGACAGAAGTAGACTGATTATAAGATTGTCAGTTGAACACCATTGGGAGGATACAGTTAAAAGCACAAGCACAGCTAGACAAAACTCACCATCAGAGTCCCAACTGGAAATAAAATCAGATGGTCAAGTACCCCAATCAGTTGGACTTGACGTGAAAATCAGTACAACACAATCTGTCAGACACAAAGACAGAGTGTGTTATGACCCTGATATGTCTGGCAGGTGGAACAACAGTCTGATGGTTAGACAGGTAATGAAGCAGAGTAGGTGGAAATGTCAGAATCTTATATATATGTTTAAAAGCTTAAGGATTGTTGGATGTCTGATTTGGCCACAGAGCCAAAGAAAGAATGAAATAGGGGCTGGGGTTTTAGCTCAGTGATGGAGCACTTGCCTAGCATGTGGGAGGCAATGAGTTTGATTCTCAGCACCACATTAAGAAAAAAATGTATAAAAAAGAGTTGAAAAGAAAGAAAGACTGAAATAGAAACAGAATCTGGCCAATTGACCATGCTGTTGGGACCAAGATCAAAGCAAAATGGGGATCTCTGTATGTGTTACAGGAAGGTGTCCAGACAAGACAGCCAGTTAATACAAATGTGTATTCATTCATTCAAAACAACTTTTTTTTTCCTTTTTTGCAGTATCAGGGATTGAATCCAAGGACTTGGCACAGGCTAGGCAAGCATTCTACCACTGAACCATTTTTTAAAAAAAGAGTCTTGCTAAATTTCCCAGGCTGGCCTCGAATTTGGAATCCTCCTGCCTTAGTTTCCTAAGTAGTTGGGATTACTAGTGTGCCACCCCACTTGGCTAATGGAATTTATGTTGAGTGCTTACTAAGTTCCAAGCACTTGCATGCTCTCTTCCTTGTTTTTTTTTTTTTTTAAGAGAGAGAGAGAGAATTTTTTAATATTTATTTTTTAGTTTTCAGTGGACACAACATCTTTGTATGTGGTGCTGAGGATCGAACCCGGGCCGCACACATGCCAGGCAAGCGCGCTACCGCTTGAGCCACATCCTCAGCCCCTTGTTGTTTTTTTTTTAATTTTATTTTTTATTACCACAGATTGAACCCAGGAGTGCTTAACCACTGAAGAACATCCCCAGGCCTTTTTATTTTTTATTTTGAGACAGGGTCTTGAAAGTTGCTTAGGGTCTCGCTAAGTTGCTGAGGCTGGCTTTGAATTCACAATCCTGCCTCAGCCTCCTGAGCCACTAGGATTACAGATATGTGCAACCTTGCCTGGCTTCACATGTTCCCTATATCATAAACACAGTTACACAGAAATAAACCATCCTAGTGTGTGTATGTGTATATGTGTGTGTGTGTGTGTGTGTGTATACACACACACACACACACACATACAGTGAGAGGTAATTATAATAACTTTATACAGCATATAACTCAGTGGCAAAGTACATGCCTGAGTACATGCCAAAGTACAAACCTGAGTTTGAACTTAGCACTGCAAAAAAATATTAAACATACCTAGTAATACTTGGATGTTCTCAGAATCAAACCAACAATCTAATAGGACATACACAGATAATAAAAAGCAAGCTCTAGGATGTAGCTCAGTGATAGTGTTTCTCTGGCATGTGCAAGGCCCTGGGTTCTAGCCCCAGTATCACAAAAGAAAAGAAAAACCACCTAAGGCAGTGATATGTGCATATATGCAGCTGAAGTAAAAGCATCACAGTATACTGCACACACACACACACACACACACACACACACACACGCCTGGAATCCATTGTACACAACCAGACAGATTACACAAACAGGATAGATCCAGAATCAAACATGCAGTCAGAACAACATCCAATCATGCATAGCTACGACCACAATACAGAGGACATACACAGTCATAATTGAGGATCACACATACACAACCAGAGAGAATTTTCCAGAACAATCATCACCAAATCAAACAGAGATGGATGGAGTTGATTGAACACACAGAACAAGTTACCAACACAGTTGGTACCATAGTATATGACATAGGCATGCCCATGCCCACATTCACACATACATCATTGGAGTGAGTTTAGAGCTAGACAGAATCCAGCAGGTAATGGACCCAGAATCAAATTCACAGAATCAGCTGGACAGGAAAATTCAGAGTAGCCAAGTGTCAGATAATTATGGTTGGAATCACAGTCCATAGCTGTTGTCTATCACACCCCTAGCCAAAGAGAGTCACCAATACAACAGTCATTGAACCCAACCCCCAGAGTCCACATCTGCTGGACACAGTCACACACATGGTCAGTATCAGCATATTAGGGATGTCCAGAATCAACTGCCAGTCAGAATCACAGTCACAAAATCAGTCCAAGGTCTTGAGGATTCCTGAAGTCAACAATAGTCACAAATACTGTTGTTGTTACAATTACAGAGTGACTCAACTGGACTCCCCAACAGTCTCAGGATAGAACACCCAAGAGTCAGGTGGACACACAGAGTCAGTTAGACCAAACAGGCAGAGTTTAGGGCCTGTTCACTCACCCATCAAGTCAGAGGGCACTGTTCACTCACCCATAAAGATCCTCGTTCAAGAAGGTACTGATAACCAGGGGGAGTTCGGATTTGATGATGAACAGGTAACTGGACATGGCTGGTGCAGGTGGGGTAAAGTATAAATGGAAGGTTATCCTCATCCTCCTATCCCATCTTCTCCATCCCAGCCCCGGGAAGCCCACATCACCCCATCCTCTTCCCTCCAGCTGAGCCCCAACTCCTAGAATCCTCACCCCCAACATTGTGCAGACAGATGACAGCAGCCACCACTACCTTCCCGGCGGGCCCAAATGCCCTCTGTCCCAATTGCTCATAGGCTCGGATGCCTAGGAGGGCAGGAAAGAAGGAATTAGTTGTGAATTCAGGAGGCTTATCCAGGGGTGAGGAATGGGAGGGTCCAGAGAGTCTAGAAGCTAGGGTTTGGGAGATTTGCCACTAACTGATGAAATTTGGAAGTGAGGGCTGGGGATGTGGCTCAAGCGGTAGCGCGCTCACCTGGCATGTGCGCGGCACTGGGTTCGATCCTCAGCACCACATAAAAAATAAAATAAAAATGTTGTGCCCAACAAAAACTGAAAAATATTTAAAAATTCTCTCAAAAAAAGAAAGAAATTTGGAAGTAAGGGTTAAGCAGATAAGCTTGAACTTGGTTGTTAAGTCAGATTTGGTACCTTGAAATGAAGGTGAGACCATGGTGAGAGAGAAGCCTGGGATCTGAGGCAGTGTGAGCTGGGGAACCATGGCTGGAGCTCTTCAGGCAATGAAGTAGCTTCAGGGTAAGAAGGGATATGGACTAAAGGATGAGGTTAGAGGTAAAGTATAGCAGTCTGGGGTTTGGAGAGGGTCTGATGGTCAGACTGAAAGGTACGAGCTGGGAATTTGGAGTTGGAGATCTGCGAGCCCAGATAAAACTGAGGGCCAGACTTGACTGTGGAGTCTCACTCAGGGTTGCATGTTGGACCTAGGATCTGGGATTAGGGTTGGTATGTCCAGAGTATAAGGTTCGGGTTGATGTTAGAGTCTGTAAACAAGTCAGGATGGCACCTGGTATTTTGCCAGGGGGAGTGGTTTGTGAGGTGGCGCCAGCGAGCCATTAAGTGTGGAGATTTCTTATTGGTTGACTGCTGTATCTAGTTTATGTTGATTAAGATAAGCTGTGTGGAATGTATAAATACCTCTATTGTCCTACAATAAATGGCTCCCACTCCTGCTGTATCAATCTACACAAGTTGCTTGTCACACCCCCGGTTATTTTGCTGCAGCCGGACT